TCTCTTATCTGTGATCTTAAAGTGTTTCTCGTTCCATTTTCCAGAACTAAAAGGTGTTCTTATACATCGTCTGCGGACACATTGATTTCGAATTTCCTCACGATTTTGACCTTCGAAGATGCATTAACCTTGCTAATTCCCATCCCTCTTCCACGGTGGCTAAGAGGATAATAAAGTGATAATTGGTTTCTGAGTGAACTCTTAGATTTCACCTAATTCCTTCAAGCTCCTTATAAGTAGCCATGAATATATGAGCTCGAAGTTTCATTCATATTCTGCCGACGATACAGTAAGCTCTTTGGCACACAGAACTGTCATACATTTCATATTAATTTTCCTTAACGAGACTCGTCGGATGATTTATTTTTAATTTAGAAGCTGTTCATTAAAGAAAAGAAGGAAAAGTAAAGTGTAAGAGTAATTAACACAGGAACACAATAAAAAAAACTAGTCACTAAGCTCAACAAGGAGGTCAAATTTACTAAATATAAGTAACGATGTTAAATTTTTTTATATTGCAAGCACTTGGTACGTGGAACTGCAATTCAAAAGACAATTTTTTTTTCCAAACTCAAACAAGGTTATATACGTAACATTTTCAATTTTCAGAATATGTTCTTTGCGTAAAATTATAAAACGCGCGAATTTTTATTTTTGCGAGAAAAAAAATTTTTTTTTCTTGAAGCTTTGTGTTGTCGGAACTGAAGATTCTCAGAAATTTTGACAAAGCACATGTATTTACATGCGGTAATGATTGACTGACTCAATCTGAATGAATACCTGAGGACTGACCAGTACTTTGTGTTCTATTACTTCCACAATTACGATTAAGACATAAATCCATTGAACCTTTGCATCGAAGGTCAAAAGACATCCAAAAATCTTAGAAATGAAGCTATTTTCTTAGACTCATACCGTCAAAATCTGCACGTGCCACCAGTGAACCACAAAGTGAACCACATTTATGGAGAAAAAAACTGTCAGCTGGTGTGCCGGTATAAAACCGGTTTTTTTCACAGAAAAATATTGTTGTTTAAAAAAAGACGCCTAATTTTCAGGCAGATATGTACTGCTATTGTAACACAAACTCTTATTTTTACAAACAAACTGTGTTTTTTTAACAAGAAATTCCATAATATAATTAAGTAAGCTATGTAGTTGGGGCGAACCAAGAGCAGCATTCGCACGACCAATTGACGCTGAGATTCGAACCTGGTCACCACATTAGAGGGCAAGCGTTCTATCTTCTGAACTGCAGAAGTTATGTCTTCGTATGAAGAAAGTGTCTTCATATTTTATTTTATTTTATAACCGTCGTTGAACAGCCGACACAATTTTTGGGTTTACGACTACTAATGTTCAACTCCGTAGCCTTGTAATTTTGAACCAATCCTAGAAGACAAGGAAACTTATATAAAGTATTGGGAGGAGTTTTGCCGTCGAGCAGAACTTTTTTGATGGAACTAACCCGCATTTGCGTAACATGGAGAGGAAGACCACGATTAGTTCCCACGGTTAGCCTGATGGCAAAGGGACTCTAACCCATGATCGGTCTACCACTGAGGATATTTCACGTCAGCACTGTGGTCGGTGCAAGCTGGATGCGGATTCGTATCGTCCAGTCATCGCAGGGATTCGAACCCGGTTCACCTCATTGGAAGGTTTTCAACTGTTTTTATCTTAAAAGTCTTACTTATTAAAATAGTATTTAAGTATAAAAACGTCTAAAACATTAGCGGCCCACCCATTTAAAAGTGTCTGGAAATTTGACAAACCGAAAAATTCTATCTAAAGAAATATAATAATCACGTAGAATATCAATTTGACAATAAAATCGAATTTCAGTTTTATTTATGCGATGTTGAAAACCAAAAAATAATTGCTGAAAAATAATAACGAGTATAGAAAGTAATAGTAAAATGATTTGAACTGCATGGCAAAAACCTGAATTTGAGCTGACGGTTTTAATCCGTTCACAATTAAGCTGAAAAGCAGTAAGAAACCGTTTTGTCAGCAAAACAGTTTTAAACCATCAAATATACAGAGAAACTCTGTAAAAAGAATGGGAATTTTTTGCAGTCTATGTATTTCTGTCATACATTTGGCGTGACCTTAAAGTAGCAAAGCGCTGAAATTTTGCAGGAATTTCAAGGTCATTATTTAGCTTCGCCAAATCTAGACTTCTTAGAAATTTTCGGGGGAAAAAATCCTTAGGTATAGCAGAAACAGAAGCAATTCATAGATCTCTAGTTATTGATTCAACTTTCCTATAATAGGGTCCTAAACTTTTAGGCTTGTACTTGAGAAAATGGGTACAGAAAGAGTTATGTGAATGTTGATTTAAAAAATATGAGACTGAATCCCAATGTGAATAAACTCCCCGAGGTGAGCTTTAGTCTCCATCTAGAATTTACTGAGGAAGCAGTAAATTCCAGACGGAGGGTAAATTGTAGTAAACGGGGAAAAACATACTCGTTGCTATCTGGGCAAGTGATATAATGTTTCCTGCGTAATTGTTTACGCTGAATAAAAGAAAATGACACCCAAGTTTATACATCTAGCAATTAATAAGTTATTTAAGTTTTATATAGAAAAAGAGCAAATTCAGACTCATTCATATTTATGCGTCTGACAATGCTACCTAGGCAAGTGAGATATTGTTACCAAAGTGTTACCAGCAATCGATAGAAATACTTCAGTTTAATAACATTTTAAGGTTATAAGAGTTTTAAGTAGGTTAGAGCAAATAATTGCATAAGTGTATTTTTTATGCTAAAATTTTTTATAACTTTTAAACTGTTAGTGAACTGTCAATTTCCCTAGCAAAAAATACATAGGAATCAATACCTTACTTGCTTGGATAACAATAATAGACGCATAAATATATGTGATTTAGAATTGACTATGTTTCTGATTAATTCGTACTCAATTAATTCTTAACTTTTAGGTATATAAAGGAGTGATGTTGAGCTTAAATCACATTTTAAAACAATTTACAATTATCAATAAGTAAAGGAAACAATTTTTTGTTTTTGTATTTTTTTTAGCTCATAATCTGAAGAATTAGGCTCTAAAATGTTTTGTGAAGTAAAATAAATTAATTGCAAAAGTCACATGAAATGCTTTAAGGACACCCTTTGATTAAGATTAAATAATTTTCAAATTTAACTCGAATAAAACATTAAAAAAAATATTTGTATATATAAGAACGAAGCAACATTGCAAGAAAAACTAACGCTCTGTCTGGAATAAATTACTTTATGTTTCTAAATTTATTTTAAAAACTATTACAGACTTTATAAAATAGAATTAGATTATTAATCCAGAAAAGAATCCAGGTAGGAAATTCTAAGTGTTCTGAAATAAGTACGTAATTTAATGACAAGAATATCTCAATGCCTTCTAGTGTTCTATACACAACATATTTCAATAAAGTAAAATAGAAGTGAAATGCCTGTTGCATATTAAATTAGCTGCATGATTTTTAACCGACTGAACTGTTCTAATCAGTAGACACGTGACTTGCAATTATGTGTCTCATTAATAAGAATATTTACTACATTCAGTTCTAACTCGTCTGCAAAGATTATAGATTTTTCCATCCATTTATTGTAGTGATTCGTGATTTAAGTATTCATAATCTGACGCCATTTCTATGGAAAATACTTAACAAGTGACTTTTTTACTACATTGAAAATGAGATTTTTTATGTCTAAGTATGAATTCAGTATCTATGATTAAGCATTTATTTATGATAGATAATGAAGCTTTTTTCCATACAATGTCATCATCAGTAAATACTTGTGAAGGATATCCTTGTTTATTATAAATAAAAAATTATCGAAACAGGATATATGTTAACATTAATTGATTATTTCGTTGAATGAATAACAACAATTTCTGTCACTAAAATTTTTTTGTCAGTTACTCTAACCTGTTTTTAGACATTTTATAAGAAGAAAAAAACTCTTATTCAGGTTTGTGAAATTAGAAAATTTACTGAGTAAGGTTTATTTATTTTTTTTGTTGGAAAAAAAGGACAAAAGAAATGATATATCCATGTTTTAGGATGTTTTTAACTGTCAAAAACATTTTAGTGTTTTGCTATTTAAAAGAGTTCGGACTTAACTAGTTTTGTAATGAATGAGGGAGTTTTGTTTGTCCATGCCCGGAAATAAATGATTTCATACTTACTACCGGCATTTACTAAATATTTTCATGTTAACTACATAGTCTATCATTTACTTTTAAAATCCCCCGATTCACTGCAGTATCTTCTACAATAGTTTCCACTTAAATGGTTTTTCGATGCTCTTCGTCAAGCAAAGCTATAATTTTAAACTATCTATACCATCTTTGCGTGAAGAATTATCTGAGCTTTAGAACAGACAAATAAATAAAATATTTTAAAATTTATTAAACTTATATAAAAATCTCCACTTTTCCACCTAGATGAGAATTATCAAAATCATTGCCTTATTTTCAGTTTTTGCGAATTTTTATGAGCCCAATACAGCATTAGAGTAAGGTTTTAAATATTTAAAAATTAGACTGCAAACTCTTTTCATTTTCATAAGACTGTGGCTTTCCTCCATATTGACGTTTTGTGCCATTTTTAGAATAAGCATAGATAGCGTTGGCTGTAGATAGGCTAAACTTGACCAAACAGTCATGAATATCTGTTACAAACTCACATTAGTTATAATTTACAAAAGACCATAATTTTATATAACGACAGAGCCTTTGAAAAACAGCCCATGTTACCAAATTCTTGGCCCGAAATTTTCCCTATTCATTGCATGCTAAAATTGTCGCCTTTTGTTATCATTTCATTGTTTAGTGCTACCAGTGCTCAAAAAGAATATAATCGTATAGGTTTTGAACCCACATTCCTGAATTCTAGCTAATTACACAGCCTATTTGATTGTAAGGCGTATAAAATTGAGCTTAACTTTTTTGATATTCACATTTAAATGCTAACTTCTAATACATTATTCCAGGTCACTTCTTCACTCGGCATCAGTGGCACACATAGAGAAGACAGATCAGTGTGACAACTTAGTCGGACTGACAAAACGACAGATCAAAATCTGCAAGAAGAATCTCGAGATCATGGAGTCCGTACGCGTCGGTGCTCAACTGTCTGTCGCAGAATGCCAGTGGCAATTCAGGACGAGAAGGTGGAATTGCAGCACCGTCAATGGAACAAAGATATTCGGAAAAGTACTTAGTGATGGTGAGTGTGCTACACTTAATAATCCAATATATTTTTTCTAAGTGGCATCATAAACTCATATATTTCTTTACCTGTTGGCTACATTATACTACAGTTATTATTCATTTTGTTAGGTTCCCATTGCTAATATTTTAGGCAGTGTTAAAAAGAGTTATCTATACGTTAAGTATTTATGTAAATTACTTTTGTTAGAAGTCCTTTAGTAAAAATTTAAGTAGTGTTGAATGGTTAGTTAAATGTTAAGTATTTATTTCGAATAGTTTTGTATTTTTATAGAAATAAGAACTTAGTTACGAAGAAATTATTTAGTTTTATATTTCATCCCTCCAAAAATGGTTGTCGAAATTTTGAACATAAACGGTGCTATTAATCCACTTAGATAGCTATTAATCCACTACTCCCTACTTTCAGAGAGACTGTAAACAGTGCTCTCTGAAGTTCTGGTACACATGTAGGAGGTGGTTGACGAGCCAAGCATGTCCCATACATTCTCGATCAGATTCAAATCAGATGAGAATGCTGCCTAGTCCATATGGGTAATATCCTTAGATTGAGGACATTCCGTTTACGATGTTTATTTGGTGAGGACGAGGGTTGTTATCCATAAACACAAATTCTGTGCCCATGGCACCCTTTAAACAAACTTACATGTTATTCTAGAGCAGTGTTTCCCAAACTTATGACTTTTGTGTACCCTTTCTAAATTTCTCGTAACGCTGTGTACCACTAATAAAAAAATGAATGTATTTTTTACTATAAAAAAATTGCACTAAAGTTAAAAATCACAACTGGCTGTTGACACCACTAATTTTCAACTGTTAACTCTGCAAAAAATAGCCAATAGAAAAAAACGTAATCGTAAATTTTCATAGCTAACTTTGTTTTTTTAAAAGAAAAATTGAAATTTTCGTTAGTTGCAAGATATTTCGCATAAGAACGCGTACCCCCGCTAAACTGTTCCTTTTACCCCTAAGGGTACGCGTACTAAACTTTGGGAAACACTGTTTTAGAGCGATGTCCCGATAAATTTGGCCAATTTAAAGGATTTGAACAAATCTCTTCGGTAGCCCAAGATAATTCCACCCCAAACGAGCGATCCTGCACCACCGTAACGGTGTCCTTTAATCATGTTGTCTTGGTGCTAACGGGTACTTGGCATTCTCCACATTAAAGTTCGATGTGAATCAGACTACAAGCTAAATCTAGACGCATCGAAAAGCATCCAACAAACCCAATGTGACGATGTCCACATTACATGTGTGATGGTGTGATTCTCTAAAATAATTATTGCAATGAAATATATTTTTACTGTCATATTCATTTCTATTTGTGGAAGATTCCGTTTCATACACATTTGAAATGTTTTCAAAAACTGAATTTTAGTGATTATTTTATTTTATTGAACTACAAGGGAGTGCACTGGGATGTTCAATAAATTAAAAATCATACTTCTCTTTAAATGTCGTTAATTTTTTTTATACAACTATAACTAGTTTTTGCTACGTGCCATATTAAATGTGAAATGAATTTCAACTGGAACTGGAAAATTTGCAATTTTAAATGAAATTTGCATTTATAATGAACTAATATTTTCTTTTTGCTCTCTTTCCTTAATTAATTTCCTTTTCCTTCGAATACGAATGTGTTGCAAAAAATAACTTAAGAAATCTTCAAAAATAATAAAACTGTATTTCCTTGAGCTTCTTATTTTTTTCGTTCATACTAATTTTAATTTAAAAATATAGCACTTATTAATTATTTTTATTTTCAAATTTAAAAATCGCATAAAATGTTATTAAAAATTTTGACAAAAATTGTTTCCTTTGTAGCGTTAATTTAATTTTTGGAACTTACCTTTACATATGCAATTTTTAAAAAGTTTGATTTTTTCTGGTTGCATACCTTTGAGGAAATTTCTTCAAGTGCCTTAGTTCTAGTTTCTTATTCTTTTTTGCTTTAAAAAAACTGTATTAAAACATGCTCTAAGATTGGAACTTCGACCACCATGAGCAATTTAATCAAAACTTTTGATAAACCTTTACTCGATAAATAATATTTACTTTACTACAAAGATCGATCTTGCTCAACACACCCACGTCAGACACCACCTGTGCTCAATATCCATAGTTTAACAACATAAAGAATCATGTAAGATAGCGATTATAAAATGAATGATGAGGTACGAACAAACTAAACAATTTTTTAAAAAAAAACTGACAATTCATGAAAGATGATAATAATCTCATCAATTAATGTCAGAAAAGAAATGCAAATAAAACGAGTTCCGTTGACAAACAGAAAAACATTCTACTGTAATTAGTTCGTAAAATTAATCAACAGCTCATTTAGATAGTCATTAGTATACAAATTAATTATCTTTGTTGAAGAACTAGTTATTAACTTTCGTTCATCGATGTAATATATTAGCAAATTAATGCGCTTATTAATTTTTTTAAGAAATTACTATCACTAATAATATAAATTATTTTTAGTTAGTGAATTAATGTTAACAAAATATTTAAAAAAGATTAATTCTGAATTTTCACACATGTACTTATTTCGAATTTCGGTTTGGGGTAAAATTGGTTCTTTAAATATAATATTAATAACATGAACTATATATATATATATATATATATATAACAAAATAAATAAATACAAAAAAACTCGAAGAAAATTAAGAAAAACAATAAGTTTCATTTATTGCGCATAAGCTGCAAGTAAAT